AACGCTCAGATTCATGGCAGAGTTTTTAGAGTTACTTTCTAATCTTACGTCAATCTACTATTTAAGGATGTATTTCTTTAATAGAACATCAGGCAGTTGTCTACGAGTATCCCAGATAGCCCAATAAGACCACTGAACTCAGTGGAAAGACTTCTGTTGACTCTAGCGAGCATTGCTTTCAGCCTGTGCAGATAAAAACAGTGCCATTTGGTCAAGTGAAATCTAAATAAATGTCCTCTAGATATATGAAGCCACATGTATTTATTCTTCTTCTTCTGTGACTGTGTTTCCATCAGTTTCTGTGATTATTCTGTCCAATCAAATTTACTTACAATTGTAAAACTACAAAATCAAGATTATTTAGGGATAGTGATGGGATTTGTAATCCATATTATAGTTTGGCACCCAAAACCCCATTTCTGAAAGTATTTTCCTTCAGTCAGGTTATGTGAGCTACTTCTATTCCTTGTTTCCAATGAAAAAATTTTACAGTTGGAATTGCTGATGCTGAAAGAATGACTGTTCATGAATAAGCTGTGCACCCAGAACTGTAATATATATTGCTCTATGAATGATTTTGCATTTAAGAAAGGTCTTACTTTAGTTTAAAGATGGCTTATTCGATGGTTCATTAATTATTGGTTTTTCTCAACTAAAAATACATTTGCATTTCATCTAACAAAGCTCATCTTTTGTTGTATCAGTGTTTGATGGCTTCCGTGATATCTTCATTGTATTTCCTCATTCTCAGAGGAAATCCAGATCCTCAGAGTTCACCTGCCTGCTTCAGAAAATTGTTATGTCTAGTTTTTTTGCACTTATCTATACCAAAACTATAGGTCGGTTGCCTTAATGTAATGACGTTTTGCAAAAGACTCTTTTAGCATCACTGTTAGAATTCTTTAGGGATGGTTTTCTGAATGATTTTCAAACAGCTGAGAAAGTAAGTAAATACTACCTTTACAGCATAGTTCATCACTTAGGTCTCCACAGTCATTGATTCCATCACAGGTGTTATTCAAAGAAATGCACTTGTTGTTGACGCAATGGAACTCACCCGCTGAACAATCTGTGCAGCAGAGTGAAAACAAAGTTAGTGTGGAAATGCCTGTAGGTTCACAACTAGGAAGATTTTTTCTTATTCATTTTATTCCTTAAACAGTTTGGCCCTAGGCATGTTAGGGCTTGGTAGAGTAAGTAGTAATCTCTTTATTGTTTTAATTGCCTCTTCATTAGACTTTCAGTGTGACCATTTGTTTTCTTCCTCCAACTTCCAGTAGCCTGGCACAAGGGAACTTCCTTTCTTCTAGACAAGGACTAAAATAGAAATGATTGCTTCAAACCCACTGCTAAGTGATTCCTGTGATTAAGATGATGGATGTTCCCCCTCTAGAAGGAACTCAGCAAGAGTCTGTGAACTCCAGCTTTTGTGACATCGTAACACTGAGATGATTCCTAACTCTCCTAACCAGCAACATCTCCTACTGAGGCTATGGAGGTCAAAGAATACCCACTATAGAAAAGAGAGAGCTGTTAGAAGTTGAAACAGACATCATTTCCCTTATATCGGTGAGAAACTGAGGAGGCTCAAAACTCCTCAGATCGTGCTGGCAGTTCGCTTATAGCCACACTTGTCTGGCTGCAGCACTACTAGTGTCTTAAGTGCGTCTTCCTCCTAGACAAAGCAGGAGTAGGAGGTTGTCACCTGCCTCCTAACCAGCTACCTTGGGAGAGATGTGACTTGCAGGGTACAATATACCTAGCTACCCTCGGAAGGGAAGGGGGAGCAAACAGAACAACGAGTGAAACTTATTTACTTTTGGGAAATATCTGTAAAAATATTTTAGCACCAACAGTGAATTACTTTCCAATTTTGAATAAACTAAGGACTGAACATTATCTTAAAGACTGAGAAAAGACTTTTAAAAATATCAAAAGGTTTCAGAGCAGGTTTGCTGTGGCTGGGAGTTCAGCAGGCTAGGGCATATATTAAATGTATTTAAAACAAACTTAAAATGAAGAACTCCAGATAGATCTTTACAGCGAAAAAACTACTGACCTCTGACACGTTCATGGCACTGAAGACTAACAAATCCTTCACTGCTGTCTCTTGATTTCTCCATTATATAACATTCAGCAAGACTTGTCTCTAGGCCTCTGCAAGTTATTTGAAGACACTGTAATGAATGTAAGGCAGATTTTGTGATGTTGGAATTGGATTGGTAAGATTCAGCACCTCTGTGAAGACACAAATAATAACAACAAAGTACATAATTTCAGAACGGATTGTACACTGCTTTTATTATTTAGACGTTACGTGATTTTCTCCAATGTAGGGATACGGAATTTTGGTCATGGCTAAGAAAAAAAATGCAGACTGCATACAGAATGGTATAGGAGTAAGTAGGACATTCTCCTACTTTGGAAGAAAAAGTAAAACAAAGTGGAAATTTTTGCAAATTACTGCATAGGACTGGCCCTGGAGCCAAATGTAGCTCTGCCACAGTCACCGTGTATCATGATAGAACAGTTTGCTTATATAGAAAAACTTGTCAGCTCAGATCCCCATCTCTGTATGGGCACAGATGAGCCATAATTTGGAAACCATCTTGCATGAGGTTGAATATCCTTGATGTCATCAGAATCAATGCGTACTGAGGAAGCTCAGCTGCAAGATAGGGAATTAATAAATATTATCTCCCTTGTAGCTGTGTTTTCACCTGAATAGTATCCTATTAAAGCATGTGTGCGTGTTCCCTATCCTAAATAAATACGGGCTGAGTAAATAAGTAACTACAGAGGCTTATAATGGGACTCAAGAACGGAACGTTCTCTCTCAGGACCAACCCTTATCTGTGCTATCTAAGGAGAAACAGATGTGGACTGAGAAACATTTCCCATCTAAAGGGGACAAGTTAGGGCAGTGCGAGATAGCGTTTTCAGTCTTCAGGTAGGGCTGGGGAGTCGTTCCTATGTGCCTAAGTTACATTAGTGGTATATTTGTAAAATTATTATTTACAGGATACAAAATGAACTTGTTATGATGATGAACGAAGTGCATAACTCGGATCATCAGTGTGGTCACAAGATGAAGAACAAGCTCTGTGCGGCTTCAGCTGTTCCTGGTGGGCAAAGCAAGCAATGGCAGCAGGGGCAAGGTATGAAGAAAACCTTATTCTGGTTCTTGTTAGTCTGGCTGGTGCAAGTGGCAAAGCAAAGCTGCGTCCTGTAGTCAGCTAGAGCAAGGAACTTCCAAGTACAATGTATTGCTCAGAGTTACTTGGTGGTGCATCTATGCATATTCCCTTACGCTAAGCTGACAGAAAACTTATGCATCGGTCTTGAGTTTTATTTTAAATTAAAAATAATTATGGTTTGAATAGAAGCTATGTGTAGTACAATAGAGAAAACTATGTTTTATCTTTCACTCTCAAGTGTCAATTTAAGAAGCTTTATCAGAGTATTATAGCTGATATATTGTTCATGAGCGTTTGATCTTATTAATTGTTGGCTGACAGTAACTGACCCTTACATAAGCATCAGTACTTTTTCTGACTCATTGCAGTTATCCAGAGATAAATTCCCCAAACTTACGACTCAAAGCCAAGGTGCCTGCAGGCCACATTTGCTTCATTCATAGTCCACTCACTATTACATACAAAAAAGTCCTCCTTGTGATTCACAGGTTTTACTCGAAGCAAACTTGAATTTGCATGGCCCAAAGAGATTTCAAATGTTTCTAAAAAAAAAAAAAAAAAGAAAAAGAAAAAAGAAAAAAAATCCAAAAAGTACCAAATAAAATTGTATTATATAGAAGCATTTTAGTGGAAAGACAGCACAGAAATCAGGCATAATTTTATCTCGTGTAGACAGCAAAAGTTCATGTGGAAGGCACAACAGACTGGGAATCAGAAGCTTTAGGTATTATTCTTGATTATTTTGGTGATTGACTTTGTGACCTTGAGCCTGTCGCTTTCTCAAAATATGCCAGTTTCAGGACAATTGAGGATAGTGGTTCCTGCCTCATAAGAGTACTTGAAGGTCTGCTGAGGAAAGGCTGCATCTTAGTATCAAGAGTTTCATTATAGGGCTCTTGATAACCAGTGAGTAACAGGTCAAGTGAGATGGCTAGATCCCACATCTATTAATTTTGTAGCAAAACTTCAGTGTTTTCCAGTGGATTCAGCTTCCCCCACCTTAACTTAGTGAAACCAGGTAGGGAGTGCTTAAGGACCACACTGAGACTCTCAGGTGCTTTTCAATAGTACAGGCAAGTTGAATTTTTCCACCCTAAGGCTGATGGGCTGAGCTGCTTCTTCTGTGGGAAAAGTTAGAAGGGAGGGATGGTACTGGAACAGCTGAGGCAGGACAGTCCTGGGCCGGGCTTGCTGTAAGGGTGGAGGTGGGGCTGAGGCTGGAAGATGGCTTGGGATAGCAGCTGCTACTGCAAGATGCCACTGTCTTTATTTAGCAGGAGCCATTTTTCCACATACTCAAGACACCTTCCTCAAGGAAGGAAGGGCAAGTGAAGGCTGAGCTGACAAAGCTCTGAGGAGCAAGCAGCTTGATGCAGCCTGAGAAGCAGCAGAAAACAAGCACCTGTCTGGTTTGCATGGCAATAGCTCTGTTTTGATGAAATTTGCTCTTGAGGTGAACATGGCTTACCTTCTCCCCATGCGCTGCCAGACACACCTCAGCAGCCTTTGACTCCGTTGCTTGAAAGCCCGCTCCTCTGAGGTATCTCTCCCTCTCAGAATGAAAGCCTCTCTGCTACAATGTTCTCAGCAGGCCCCCTCCCTCTCTGCCTCCCGCCGTATTTAACATCCTGATGGAAACTTAGGCACTCTTTTTCCTTAGTCCCTTTCCTCCATTTCTACCAGATAGTTTGAGCAGGATACAAGCAGCAGAAGTGGCAGTGGGTAGCTGTACCTGTCAATCACTTTAGTTTTATGAAAATCAAAAAATACTGCCCATTTTCAGTGACTTGTCATTTTCTGTTCCATGTTTTTGCTACTGCAAAGAAATGAAGAGGCTTTCTGAGCTGTAAGTATTAAAGCGTCTACTTGGCTGCAAATGAATGATTGATATATTTTGGAAAAGGAGATATTAATACCTCCAGACACGCAGTTTCCCTCGTTCAGAAACCTTGCTGCAGGATGTTGACACTCATAGCTCTTTAGCTGACAGTAATTTCGGAACTGCTTTCCATTGGTAGAACACACTGAAGTGCCGTTCTTTGGGCACTGGTAGGGAAGTTTACAAAGGCATTTTCCCTCCACACATCGTTCCCATGGGTTACAAAAAACTTTCTTACAGGACTTGTGTGTGTATTGGTTACTTAAACATTCTTCTATCAAGTAGTTTTCTTGCTCAACTGGCTGGACAGGCTCAACCTGTTTTTCTTCAGCTTTAGATGCTGCATTCTGCAAGGCACAAAGTTAAAAAAAATCAAATAAGACTAGGAATTACAACAGCTACCAAAAGTTCTGCAAATCTGTCTCTTCAACAATGCGTTTTCTCACAAGCCTTCTCCTATGTTATGCGCACTGAAGTACTCAATTTCATTTATGGTGTCTATTCCCTTGTCTTTGGTCACCTCATCTTTCTCAGTTTTTCTGGGAGTCTTTTTCTTTCTGGATCATTCACCTGGTGTGATTTTCACTCTTACTGGTCTCCTGCAAACATTGCACTCTTGTTCAAATATCAGCTGGAGTACACAGCAGATTTAAAGCCAGCGGTTTAACGTACCACAGCAATGGGATTGTAAACAAAGTTCGTAATGGGAGGTAACCACTAGGAAAATAAAAAAAGGTAGCAACTTAATGTTTTTTGCTGAGATGTTTTTATTGGCCTAACTGGCTTTGAGTTTAAGTATCACCTGTAAATACTAATGAACAAATAAATACTAGAAGCAAATAAAGGAATGTAAAATTAATCATTTGTTCCATTGTAAAGCCTGCCAAAGCAACAAGTATTTAGAAGTATCTTCAAGCAATTTGAACATGAAATGTCCTTCCTGATCCTCTTTTTTCCTCTGTCTTGCACAGCAGTGGATTTGCAGTGTGATTGCTGGTCATTACTGGACTGCAAGGGCTGATTCTGACCCTCCATCCAACCGTCTCTAGGTGAGTGGCTGTTTATCTGTGTTCATGCAGCTCTCCAGAGTCTCCGTTGCTGGCTGAGTGCTTATGCTCAGTAACAGCTAAGGTAGGTAGGTAGGAGGAAAGTTGAAACATGAAAAATATATATGGATGGACTTTGCATATAAAATAAGGGAAAAGTTAGTCCTCATATGTGACTTTGGAACTTTGACTGTGTCCACTGAATCAAGGGAGCTGAAGTTTAAAGTTATCAGGAAGAAATCCTGGCCCTAGTAAAGCCAGTGGGGATATTATTGGGGCAGTTTTTAATCCAAAGCAACTTTTAATAGTTGTAAAATCATATTAAATTCTTTCTGTTGTTCTCAAGTCATTAAAATCAAGTGCATTATCTCTAAATCTACATGCTAAACTGTTAGCCAGATCCGGCTTGGCATAAGTCCCATATTCTGCTAAACGTTTCTCCTGAGTTTCAATGAATAGGAACACAGTTCCTGATTTTTATGTAAAAGTTTTGCTAAAAGACTGCAGTTATGATGAATGCTGAGCCCATACGGACTTTCTGGGACACTTTTGTCAGAAGAAATTCCAGAGCAAAACTTCACGCATTATGATATACCATGTTGCCATGCTAGAAAGAGACAGGGCAAACTGCTGCACATTTCCCTGGTCAACTGCACTTGTAAATTGGGCTTAGGATGATAATTAAAATCTTTTCCAGAAGCCTGCTAATACAGATTCCAGATAGAATCGATATTATGAAAGAGAAATAGCAAGCTTCTAATATTCAGACTGGGCTAAAACAAACAGATTAATACTATGAAAGAAAACTTAAAAAAAACCCTGTTTTTACTTTTATAAAAGTAAACTTTTTGATTCTTGTTTTTTTAATAAATTAATGATACCACAATAAAATAAGTTCTTACCTCTGCTCCACAAAAATAAAAGAGAAACAAGAAAACCAAGAAAACTGGAACCACTCTCATGATGATGTTTTATCTCTCTTTGTAGAGAGAGATCCTTCAGCTAGGATTCTTTTGAATGTCAATTGTTTGATTTGTGTTTAATTTTTAACCACTAGTAAAATACTTTAAAGTGTATTTAGAAATAAAGTGCAGGAGCCTCAACTATTAACTGATAAATCTGAGCTCTCCAGAGGGATCCTGCCTCAATCCAACTGGTTTTACTGTAACTGCAAGAAGAGATAACAAAAGTAAAGCCTTTAAAGTAAATGATTACAAGGAAAAACTTATTAAGAATACACTTTTCCTTTCCTTTGCTCCTGAAGGCATTCATCTTTATCAGATGAATTACTAGGTAGAAGATAAATGTGATTTTACACAACAGATATATATATCCCCATAGTTATGGTGGGAGAGAGGGAAGAGAGAGAAGGAAAGAAATACTAATAGCTGTTCACTATCCATTATATAATCAACTAAATTACTGGCTCATATTACAAGATTTTAACAGAAAATTTCTCAAGTATTTGACAAATGGTGGAAGTATCTTTTTGAAAGTCACTTTCCAGGAAAACATTAATTCAAAACAGCAGAACCAAAACCCTCTAGGAATGACAGAACAGGCTGCAAGGCGGTAACAGAATTTTTTCCCAGTTAGGCAGTTTGCAGGGAGAGGGTCCTATCTCTTTCCTGTTAAGACAGCTAGTACCCCCTCTGCCATCTCAGATCTTCGGAGCTCAGTGTGTCACACACTAACATTAAGACAAAAAGGTCTGATCATCTCAGACACATGTCAGTCAGGAGAAGACTGGAGTATAAGAAAAGGTCTGCTGAAGCCATTGATTGTACAACGATCGACAACCATTGGGATAACGTTCATTGTCATATGCAGCTGTTACAAGCAGATGAAACGAACAGAACGTAGTCAAATGTGAACACACAAAGGTGAAAAAGGGCTCCAGGGCATCAAGGAAATAACTTGCAGGCACAGAGGTGGGATTGGTAAACACTGCCAGCATCAGATGCAGATTGTACCCATGACAAGGAAAGCTCTCTCCTGGTGTGTAGTGTATAGTGTCCACATGTCATTGCTTTCCACTGCCTCTTGTGAACCCACCAATGCAGTCATGTGTTGCTGTAAGTTGTCTCAGCTCCTCTTTTCAGTTGTGGTTTTCATTTTTGTAATTTTTTTCTTGTTACTAATTACTTTCCTGTCATACCATTGTTGGAGATGTATACCTTTTCCCTTAAAAGGTGGGTTTATTATTCTGCACTGAGATCTTTGAGACGCATCAGAGTGGATTTGTGAGATTCCTGTTTTCCCTTAGGGAAGAATTATTTGTCTACAGTTTGGGGTCACACCATCACCTGAAGCCCTTCTTAGCTACACATCTACCTTGTGACTTGGACTATGGACTTGTTTTGGACAGTAGGCCAAAACGGAGGCACTCTGGAGAGCTGATAAACGCTTCCCTGGCTTTCCAGAAACGACCGTGCTTCAGATGTTTTCTTGAACGTCCCGATCAGTCACTTGCCTGTGACCATGCTTCCCGTGCACCAGGTTTGCCTTGCGGCAAGCTGCTGTACGAGTGTGTTCAGAGAGTTTCTTTCCCTGAAAGACTGGTGCTGTTATTCCCTGTATCCTGAATTCCCAGTGGACTAGGAAATGAGTGAGCTCAAGGAGTGGGTAGTAGCTGTGCCTGTGAGGTAAGCTAAAATATGTATAACAAAATGAACCATGGGTCCACCTTTTTTCAAGCTAGCCTCGGCCACTACTATCATTAATATGTCTCTTCAATGGTGTTTAGGAAATCTGGCTTTCCGCACAGTTTTTACAGTACGGAAAGGAGGGATGAAAATTTAAAGCAATATTCACTTAATCTCTTGCCTCCTTTAGCATTTAAGATTACTCTGTTGCCATCAATCCCAGCCAAGGTCTGGGATTATTTCGATACAATAGCAATCCGGGTATCTGTATCTGGGTTGAGATTCAACTGATAGCATCATTAGATGTTTAACCTAGTGGCTCCTAAGCATGTAAATGACCTCTTTTAGCACTGTAAAACATGATACAGAGCTTATTGTGCTGCGTTGAGGATGGCTGTGCAGCGAACTGTTATAAAGAAGGAGGTATCCACAGTCCCTCAGCTCTACGGAGAAGAAGTGTGCTCCTTCACATATCTAACAAAACTTGTATTTCACGCGAATTTATTAGATTTAATGAATTGGCTTTCGCTCTGGTTGTACTTTATTATTTCAACTTGTTTTGATAATCCTTTTGCATTACTGGTGGTTCTTGGGTTTACCCTCTGCTGAGATCACAGAAACACAGGGTAAAAATCTAATTGTTTCTGCAACTGAAACACACGGTGGTTTCAGAACAAAGTCCTTTGGGCTCCTGCCTACGAGCAGGCAGAGCGAAACGGTGCCCCGGCGCCGGCGGCTTCCCTGTCGCCCCTCGCCTCCCCCCCTCGCCCGACGGCCACGCGGCGCCTAACTGTCGTTAACGGTTGCTAGGGGCGCTCCCCAACAGTCGTAAAAGTGCTCGTTCCCCCCTCGTGCGACTTTTGCGGCACTATCGGTTGTTACAAGCGTTCGGGGTTTGTTATTCTTTACGGCCGGCGGCCTCCTTTCCGGCGGAGGGGGAGGCTTTCCGCCG